ATAGTCGGAATTTTACTCGTCGCAGTGTGATCGTACTGGTTCTGCGCTGCGTCACGCGCTGCGCAGCTACCCTAATTCACACAATTCGTATACCTAGTATCGTTTTGTTTACGATCGAAGCTAAACCGGACTTAACCCTAACAAGCTCCCCCACCGATCATGACACCGGAAAGTAAACCCCGGAACGCAATTTCCCCATGTGACACTATCAATTGCCGAAATAATAATTTTTAAGAGAAGTAATTAGGCATCTATCTACAATTAGGAAAAGCTAGCTGCATAATAATAGTTTAAATAGATTTAGTGGGGTTTTCATCTTTATTATCGAAATTTAATAATGGATTATCAATAATGAATTTATCATAGAATTGGATTCTTTTTTCTATATTATTGAGTCGTCTTTGTATCGAGGAATTAAAATCTTCAGTAGTATCGGATTCATAAGTAAATGGCATAATATATTTTTCATATTTATTTTTGAATAATTTTGATTTTTGTACCAAACCCCATGGTGATACTGAACCAGATCCTAACAGTTATTATTTTTTTAAGAAAAAAATTGAAATTGTGTGTGTAAATTATTCATTTGTAATTTAACCTAAAAAAAATTGTCAACTTACCGAATAAAAGTATATAAAGAGCAACAACAAAACTCCAAATACCACCAATAATACCTAATGAGCTCAAAATCTATTTATTCAAAATAATATTAATTATTGAAAATTTTTTTTTGCTTAAAAATGAATTATATTTTCTACTTACAGTTTTGCTCCTGTTATTACCATTATTTTGAAATTATTAATAAGTGATATAATAAACGATAATAAAATATTTACAAAATGAATTGATCAAAATTGGGGTTTCACCTTTCTTCTGTTTCTTCTATTATAATAAATGGAGGAGACACAATAAATCGTAATATTGCATAATAAGAACTGTTTGAATTCGCAGTCATAACAAACGCTGCGGTTATTAAATAGTAACAATATAAATTATTATAATATTTTAGAAAATTAAACAAATTAGATAATATATAAAAAAATTTTAATTCATACACATATATGATTCAAGATAAGGTATGTCAATATATGTTTGTCTACCAAAGTAACTTAAAATATCTGGAATAATAGCGTGCCTGATGCGCCTATTAAATGTCCATTCATAATGCTACGTACAATTTTTTTTTTTAAAATTTATAAATTTGCAAATCATTACTCTTCAAAAGGATTAAATACATGTATACATACAGCTATGTCATTTCTAGGTTGCCCAAAAAAATAAGCGTTCTTCAGATAAAGTGATTCTTCAAATTGAATTTGTTGATAAATTAATGGATTCATCAATAAATCATATTCTAAATCATTTAAATTTATTATTTAATTTCTAATTACAATGTTATTGTTAATCTATAAAGTAAATAGGATCTTATTATTAATTTTATAAAAAAAGCCTTACCTCCATCATAAGCATACATTTCCATGTAATCATTTTGATTGGAAATGTTGTATCTAGGGTCTGTGATATTTATCGAAAGAGTATATCTACTACGAGAAGTTATATCATATCTTGATGAAAATAAAGCTAAATATTTAGACTGTGAAGTATCATATACAGTTTTATTGATATAGTCGCTACAATTGTAATTCCCTATAATGAATAATTCAAGTCGATATGCTATTTAAATAATGTTAAACTTAATTATTCAAAGTAAAATAATATAACTATTACCTGTGTTATTCAAAACAGCACAATTAATAGTAAAATTATAATTATAATAAAAATATATGTCTACATTGATTTAAAATTTTTACGTAATACACGATTTTATTAACATTATAAATTATTTATTTAACATTATGATTATTTTTAACTTAATTCTCACCTGGTGTAGGCAGACTATTGGATGTTTTATATCTTATATTAACACTAGGCAGTTCGTCACGAACTTCAATGCATAATACGGCAAATGCTGTAATTGATAATCCTGTAGCTATAATGATAACAGTACGTCGAAGAATTTTAACTGACTTTGGTTCATCGTGTCTTATTTTGAATAAATCAGTAATCATTTTTTACTTAATTTTTTATTATAATTGCAAAAATGAAAAATAATGATGATAATAATAATAATTCATATTATTATCTTCCTTTAATTTTGCAGTCATTTAATCTCTGATAAATGCCCTATATATATGCAATAATTAATTTGATGTACATATTACAGAATCTCTACATTAATACTATAATATCCATATTTGTTTAAACGACCGATTAGTGACACAATATTTGTACCATCTATTTCCTTGTTACGAAGGAAAATTAATACTATCTAAATGATTGTCTCTTAATAACCACTATAAAAATTTACTAAATGTCACATACCTGACTACGTACGTACAATTTACTCGTGAAATACACGTGTAAATTTGCTAATTGATGGATATTTATAATTATTTTTTTTTTCATAAAAAAAATTAAGACTCTGTACACTAATTGATTATCACATTTCCAACGGAATAAGGCATTTTGATTTCTATAATAATTTCGTTTCATTAGCTATTTTTTTTTTAATTTTCCTTGATGCTTCCATGAGAAAATAATATTAAGTTTGCTTATTTATGCCAGTGATACAAGGCTAAGAGAGAAAAATACAATTAAATCGCTTATCTCAATGCATGGGGTGAATCGTTAAAATTTTTTTGCATAAGATCTACCAATATGAGATCATCAAAATTTACGTCCACGTGACGATCTACAGAAGTTAGCCAATGGTAAATCACGATTTTGAGTAACGTTAACTATCAGCTCTATCAAAATTTTTTTTAGCTATATCTCACTAAATCCTAACCTTAATATAAGAGCCCTAACTTTAGCTTCTGTATTATGAATATGGGATAATTTAAGATTTGGGACTAATGTTTTAAATAGCATAGTAAAAAAAACCGGAATTTTAAAAACGATCCTGAAATTTCAAGAATAAACGGATAGTGAGCGGTAAATTCGAAATTCTATTTCAAACACTTTTGTTAATTAAAACTTTAATTTTCCAAATTTATTACAAATCCCAAATTGATCCCAAATTCCAAATTAATACTTGTTAATGTTGTAAGTGGTAACCAAATCAGTTAAATAATCGTAGTTTGAAATTTGATCATAACAATAATTAGAGTATCACTTGAATTCAACGACACCTAAAGCCATCAAAAATGTAGGTAATTCCGAAAATTTTATTGGCTTTTGATTATGTTACTTGATTTTTATTGGCTTAAACCTACATCACCAAAAAAATTTTATAATTAATTCGAAATTTATAATATTATCTAACTAATGTTTGTGGTCGATTTGGCTTTAGCCGATAAAATTGACTTGGTCAGCTAAGTCAGTCAGTCAATTTTTTAAAAAATCGACTTAGTCGATTCAATTAAAAACTTGGCCAAATATATAAATGGTCGGACGATTTCGGAGAGCTAGTGGGTGCAGGGAAAATTCGGGATATTTCATTTTTATGTAGGAAATCGACTTAACCGGCTAAGTCAATTTTTAAATATCGCTTAGTCGAGTCGATAAATTTTGGTCGACTACAAACACTATAATTGATTGTGTAGGCAATTAATTGTAATTATTTCAACTACAATGGTCGTCCCAAATAGTTTGGTTTACATCCCTACTCACAGCCACAATTAGGCCGTTCGAAGTTGATTCTTTAGTTAACATCACCCCCCAGCTGAAGGCTCTCCCCGAGAAATGAACAACCAATCAAAAAGCTGAATAACTCTTATCAATCTCTCGATTTACATCGACCAATCAAATTGTCTCTATTTGTTCATTCTATATGTTCATTTCATTTTATCCCCCCTCCCAAGAGTTCTAAAAGTGATTTTAACCGAAAATTCAACTTCAAGCGGTGAAAAGGTGTAAACCGGTTCTGGTACGGAACTCGTCCGGAGGTTCTGGTTACACCTAGGTTCGTAGTTCAACAAACAAACAAACACTACAAATCCAACAATCAACCCTAAGTTGGTAGGCTGAAAGAGGGCGTGGAGGATTTGGTC